GTGTTAGTTTTCTATTGTGTCATAGATAACCACAAGCTTAGCAGCCATCATTAGCTTATGGTTCTATAATCCAAAAGGGTAGGCACATGGTGTGCACTGGTTGGCTTTTGTCAACTTGACACAAATGTAAAAATACGTGGGAAGAGGGAAACTCAGTTGAGGAATTATCACCATAAGATTGCCCTGTGTGGGGCTGGAGAGTTGACTCAGCGGTTAAGAGCACGGACTATTCTTCCAGAGGACCCAGGTTTAATTCCCAGCACTCACATGGCAGCTCACAACTGTCTGTAACTCTGGTTCCAGAGAATCTGACACTCTCACACAGACATACAAGCAGGTAAAACACCAATGCACATGAAATAAATAAATCTTAAAAAAAGAGATTACCCTGTGGACAAGTCTATGGAGTATTGTCTTGATTAATGATTGGTTGAGAGGGGGGCAGCCCACTGTGGGTGGTGCCATCCTCAGCAGGTGGCCCAGGATGGTGTATAAGGAAGCCAGCAGAGCAAGCTAATAAGGAGCATTCCTCTATGGTGTCTGCTTCAGTTCCTGCCTTCGGGTTCCTGTCCTGCTTGAGTTCCTGTCCTGACCTCCCTCAGTGATGGACTGTTACCTAGACACAAAGGTTAAATTACCCTTTTCTTCCACATTGCTTTTGGTCACGGTCTTTATCACAGCAATAAAAACCCTCAGACCGCCTTCCCAGGTTTCTTCTCAGACCATGGCCAATGGCCAGGTGCTGGCCTGGCACGCTGCTGTCATCTGTTCATCTCTCTGTGGTTACAGAGCTGAGGTTCTGTTGTCCCTGCTAGTTGTTAGGTGCAGGCTGCTCCTGACTTCTTGAGGTTGGCCCCCACACCATGTCCTCTAATGTTCAATTTTGTTGTTGTGTTTTTCAAGAAACAGGGTTTCTCTGTGCAACAGTCCTGGCTGTCTTGGAACTTGCTTTATAAACCAGGCTGGCCTCGAACTCATAGAAATCCATCTGCCTTTGCCTCCCTGAGTGCTGGGATTAAAGGCCTGCGCCACCGCCGCCCGGCTCAGTTTTTAAATTTTTAACTGAGACGTTAAAATCATAATAGGAAGCCATTCCCATTTTATTGACATGTGGCTCATCCACTGTCAGAGCTAATGGTGGGAAATAGCACGCCTGGGAGCTGCCTATTCACCCAGGTAGGCCAGACTCACCTTCATCTGTCTCTCTTTCTGAAAGTCTAGCAGAATTACTACTTGGAAAATGGAACAGACAACATTGTCAAGAGTCTTTAGAAGAGTGCGGTGCAATGGTCTGAAATCTGGGGTAGGGATGCTTAGAGGAATGGGATCTCCTGACGAGGGGCACAACCTTTCATAGGTTTGGAACAAGCTCTAGAGGCTGTCAAGGAACAGGGATCCTCTCCCCAAGCCCTGAACTTGGGTGGTCAGTGGAAACTGTCTCCTGTCCCCAACTGGGTTCTTATCCCACCCCCTCTAAGAATAGCATAGGCAAACATTGAAGAGTATACACGGGAGACACTTTTTCGTGAGTTCCCATTATCGGTCTTGAAACAGACTGACGTGCGGGATTGAAATGAGATAGATTTGAACTGTGGGGAGCAATGAGGGTTACAGGGCTGGGGCTCCCGAAGATGCTGCATGTGGTCAGTCATTGAAGCCGTGTGTTGTGCAGGGCAGGACAGCAGCCAGTGGATAATTGGTGGTCATCATGCATGGCCCAGAGACTCCAGGGGCCATGGAGTCTCTTCATGAACTTCAGTGAACAGGGGTTCCAATAGGGGTGCTCACTGATTGCAGTGTGGACAGACTGCAGAAGCACGAGATAGAAGGGACTAGTCACCGTGGGCTCCTTGGCAACTTAGCATAGATGTGAGTAAACTGTGTACATGGATTCTTTGTTTCCAGAGGTCAGAAGCTGTTGTGTTACAGTGTCAGGGGTGGTGTGGTCCCCAGACCATGGTCATTTTCAGGAATCCAACTTCCATGGCCCAGCTTGCACAGCTTTGGGATAGTGTCCCGTTTTTTTCTCTGCAAGTTCCTCAGTAAGTGACTTGTCTGTCCCGTATGGGTGTGTGAAAAGGACTCCCAGGGAGGGAGGTGTCAGACCTGTATTCCCGAAGGCTAATACAGGTGAGGTGCGTTCTGCTGCCCTCTGGAATGCTGAGGCCCACTGTGGCCGGAGGCTGTGGAACCCACGTGATCAGAGCAGAGGGACATCTCTCAGCAGCGAGAAATGGCTGCAGTCATTCATTCAGTACTGGTGGGCGGTGGTGAATAGAGTCTTAGTGATGGGAACACATTAATGCTGTGGTCACCCACCCTGAGCCCTTTCATTCTTCCCAGCTTTAGAGACAGGCCAAGTTGGACTGCTCTGAGGAGAGGCAGTAAGGTCGTCATCCTTCCTAAGTTTGGAAAACAAGCCTCACTCTTCCGAGGTCTGATGTGAAGCTATTGCTGGGTGGTACTCCCTGAATTGAAGGTGGAGAGCACGTCCCCGAGGCCCCGTTTATCAGGCAGTTCGTCAGTCCAGCCAGGCGGTAGGAGTGCCAAGGAGTGCCTGCCAGACCTTGGTGCCCTACCCGGAGCAGAGCCAGTCAGGATATTTCTCACTGTGGCTAAGAGCAGCTTTGGGGTGAGAGGCGGAGGCGCCATATGAAGAGAGGGCAGGCTTTGTATGCAGCAGGCTTCACTGCAGCCGAATGTAGTTAGTCAGCAAGGAGCACTACAGAAGAGCTGGACAGGTGCCCTGGATTGTACGGGAAGCCTTCCGACGTGAGACTGACTGTCCAGGCCCTCCTGCCCCACGGGTGAGGGAAGAATCCCACTGTAGGCTATGGAGATAATGACTCCAGTAATGACCAGAGCTGGGCAAGCAGGAACCACAGCATTTCTTAGTCTCCCACAGTCACAGCCTGCTGCTACCCCACACATGCAGGGCCATCTAGGATGAGGAGGCAGGCCCTGCTGTGTGGAATGGAAGAGTGAGTGCCACTTCCTGCAGGAGAGCAGAAGAGCTTCCCTGGAAGGTCCCTTGGGCTAGCAGACTAAAGTCACTGTTCAGGGACAGGCAGGCTCAAGGCCTAGACCCCTCCCTATGGAGGACATTTCCCTGGGGACCTAACTGAGGAAAGTGTGTTCCCGGGCCACTTGCTGAGGAGGACTTTTGACTGGGGACCTGGTCACAAGAGCAAGAGCCACAGGGGACTCCTGGTTAGGCCACTCTGAGCCTTTCTGGCTGGAGTAAGTTCTGGGGGTATTGTAAGTAAGTAAATGCTGGGGTATTGTAAGTAAGTAAGTGCCAGGAGTATTGTAAGTGAGTGCTGGGGTATTGTAAGTGAGTGAGTGCTGGGGTATTGTAAGTGAGTGAGTGCTGGGGTATTGTAAGTAAGTGAGTGCTGGGGTATTATAAGTAAGTGAGTGCTGGGGTATTGTAAGTGAGTGCTGGGGTATTGTAAGTGAGTGAGTGCTGGGGTATTGTGAGTGAGTGAGTGCTGGGGTATTGTGAGTGAGTGAGTACTGGGGGATTGTGAGTGAGTGCTGGGGGATTGTGAGTGAGTGAGTGCTGGGGTATTGTGAGTGAGTGCTGGGGTATTGT